ATACAAAGCTTTGAATCCTCTGTACATTAATTGAGGAGACATTTGGTGAAAAGATTTATGTGTCACTCAATGAGAATTTTAAAGAACATATCAATTAAATTAACCAATAATAACATTTCAATTTAAATCTATATGTGATGAGAAGGTTTTCTTCTATGCAAATAAAACCTAACAAAGCTAACAACCTAACTCATGATTCAATTGCAGTAAGTGATAGGATTCGAACACAGGGAAGACAAGGACCTAGAGTACTAGACCAAAGAGTATTTCGGTTAATCTAAAGCATCAAAAAAAGTTTGGATAAGTTACTCTAAACTAATTAGAAATGTAACAATACTGAGAATGCACAAAAAAAAGATGTAAAGATGTATGCAATGATAATGGGAGATATCAAGCATCGGATTAGCAATCGACGAGAATCAACAGATTGCGGCTAACAAAACCAGGGTCTTTAACCAATAAGCACAACTCTTAAGCATGGGACACGAATATAGGTCATCCCACTTTCGTGATGCTACTAACCACTATGTTGAGTACAAACATCTAATGAGCTTTCGCTACTAGATATAAGTACTCTTCAAGCTTAAAGATTAAGTCCCAATAAGCTCACTTAACTCCTCTACTCACTTTCGTGGTCAAAGGATCACTAAGCCGAGCAAAAGGTCGGTCCGGCATTCCGTCAAACACCTTTCGGACAACGGAATGCCTCAGGACGAGATTCAAAGCCGGATCCAAGAACCAAGCTTTATCCACAACCTAAGCTCGAGAAACGCAATACACAGGTCGAGATTAAGTTAGCCGTTTCTCTAAAGCTTCTACATCTGCTAACCCGACGCTCGACAAGCTAACTACTCACTCATGGTTATAGGAAAAGCCATGATTGAGCTCGAGTGAGGTGCGAGTGATGCGATGCAAAGATAAGTGCGATTAACAAGTAAATATTGAAACTTTAAGCTAAAGACTAAAACTTTATAACGAAAATAACTTAGAACATCAAAGATCCGATGCTCTAAGGGTCGATTACAACT